AGACCATATATTAGTGTATCAGAAATTTAGTAATCTGATTTACTATGATTTACTATGGCCACTCAGTAATTCTGAGCTTCACTAAAGTTTGAGAACCAAACATGTAATGGAAAAAATTATTGATTGCAGTCAAGATTCTGGGTCTAGTTAGGGTTTCCACCAAATACCTGGGCATGTCTTTCAAACTGTCTGGGCCTTCGTAACTTCACCTATTATAACAGGAGAGGGTTAGATAATTCCTGATCGCTTATTGCTCAAATTCAATGACATTCTATATTTCTTGACATGTAGCTTTATAAATATTGCCTCTAGGAAAGACCTTGAGATATACATGGCAAGTACTGAGAAGCCACGAGAGACAGCCAGCAAGGCAGAGCCACAAAGATTTGTAACCTCATAGGCTCACAGAACTTATCTGTCAGCACACTGGGAGTAGAACAGTACCTCAGACAAATGCAAAATAATAATCTGTACTATCAGAAGATCTGTTTATGAATTTATAGCAGGACCTATCCTTGAAAGGAAGTTCAGTCTTGTGTCCTATGGTCTGAGCATTCTCTTCCCAAAGACAAACTGTTAAGAATTATAATCAGAAGTTTTGCCTGTGAAGAGCTGATTGAGTGTTCTGATATTGACCAATGTGTCCACATCTCATCACAGGCCTGGTTGGTTCTCTTCTAGGACTTGGATGCCTTCTCCTGTGGAGAACACATTCTCCTGAATGGGAACAACTAAGTTACCCTCCAAGATTCTCCTTTTTTTTTTTTTTTTTTTAAGATTTTACTTATTAATTTTGAGAGAGTGAGAAAGAAAGGGAAGGGACAGAGCAGGAGGGAGAGAGACAAGCAGACTGCATGCTGAGCATGGAACCCTACGCAAGCCTCAGTCCCATAACCCCCAAGATGGTAACTTCAAGACTCCTATTTTTCTGTACTTGCATTGTCAAACAAGTCTCTTGTAGATCAACACTTTTCTTTGGCAGATTTAATAAGTTTCAGTTACATTCTAGTCAAGACCCAAAGACCTAGAAACTTTCTGCCTCTCTTAAGTGACATTGTGCATATTCTCTACCATCATCATTTAAGTCTTGATTTTAGAGTAAAAATCTCAGAGGCAGACTGCTTGCCTTATTTCCAAGTTTCTGATGGGCTACTACATGTTTGTCTTTGCCTGTGTTTCCTGTATGCCCAAATCCCCTACATCCTAAATGGCCATCAACTCAGGAACGGAGACTATTAAGCCCCTAAGAACTACATAATGGAGCAGTTTCCTCCACTTGTAGCCATCTCAGAGAGTTAGTAGCCATCTCAGTTTTCATACCATTTATGGTTTTTGTGATATGATTCTTTTAGTCTTAAAGTATAATGCAATTTTGGTCCCAAGAGCTTATTAATAGAAGGCAAGTTTAACTTATAATGAACAGTAGCAGCCATGAATCTGTTTGCGTTATTTAGAAATTTGAATTGAATTGTCTCTCATTTGTAATAAAGGATTTGTAAAAGCCACATGTATTCGCATTGTCTATAAAAAGTGAATGGCTGAACAGTTACTCAATGAACATGACCAGTGACGTCAGCAAATATGGATCATTTCTGTTCAAAGACTCTGACTTTCTGTAAAATGTTATATAGCCTATGTTTTCCACATATTTTCTTTCACCTTTTTTTGCTTTTATAGATATTATCTAACAATGTAGGTTATCTATATTTCTCCAATTAGTTATTAGTTATAAATCTTAATTAGAGGGTGGCTCAGCCATTTAGTGTCTGCCTTCAGCTCAGGTCATGATCCCAGGTCCTGGGATCCAGCGCTGCATCACATGGGGCTCCCTGCTCAGTGGAAGGCCTGCTTCTCCCTCTCTCACTCCATCTGCTTGTGCTCCCTCTCCCACTGTGTCTCTCTCTGTCAAATAAATACATGCAATCTTTTTTAAAAAATCTCAATTAGAAAAAAATAACAGAAGCATTTCTGATATTAAAAAGTCAGAAGACTGGGGCATCTGGATGGCTCAGTCGCTTAAGCATCTGCCTTAGGTTCAAGTCATGATCCTGGGGTCTCAAGATGGAGCCCTGCATCTGACTCCTTGCTCAGCTAGGAGTCTGCTTCTCCCTCTCCCTCTGCTCCTCCCCAGCTCGTACTTGCTCTCTCTTGCTCGTTCACTCTTCTCTCTCAAATAAATCATGAAATCTTTTTAAAAAGTCAGAAGATATCTTTAAAAATATGATTTTTGTAGGGCTGTTAATAAAGTGTATTTATTCCACATATTGCTATACCTATAAAAAGATCTTCAGCATCACTAATTATCAGGGAAATGCAAATAAGAACCACATGAGATATAACCTCACACCTGTTAGAACAGCTATTATCAGAAAGAAAAAGAACAAGTGTTGGAAAGGACATAGAGAAAGGGAACCTTTGTGCACTGTTGGTAGGAACATAAATTCGTGCAGCCTTTGTGGAAAACAACATGGAGATTCCTCAAAAAATTAAAAATAGAATTACCATGTGATCCAGCTATACCACTTCTAGGTATTTATCTGAAGAAAATGAAAACACTAATTCAGGAAGCTATAGGCACCCCTATGTTCATTGCAGCATTATTTACAATAGCTAAGAATGGAAACAACCTTATATCTATATCTATAGATCTAGATCTATAGATCTAGATACAGATATACCCAATGCTATTGAGCCATAAAAAAAGAAGGAAATCTTGCCATTTGCAACAACATGAGTGTACCTTGAAGGTATTATGCTAAGTGAAATAAGACAGAGAAAGACAAATACCATGCACGTGATCTCACTTATATTTGGAATATAAAAAACGAAAAAGGAATAAAACACAACTCATAGATACAGAAAATAGATTGGTGGTTAGAGAGGGGGAAAGGAGTCTTGGGGGCAAAAAGGCTGAAGAAGGTCAATTGTGTGGTGACAGATGGTAACTGGATTCATTGTGGTGATCATTCATTGTGATCACCTTATAGTATATTATTATGTTGTACACCTGAAGCTAATATAATGTTGTAAATCAATTTTACATATATGCATGTGTATGTGTGTGTGTATATATGTATGTGTATAAATATATATATATATATATATATATATATATGAATTCATGAGGTTTAAAATTAAATGTGCTTTCTCTTAGATTAATACTATCCTTTTTATCTTTGTCAAGGAGAAGTAAATTGCTTGGTTCAGTACAATCCAGGCCCATCTGAGTGGCTTTTTGTTGTTTTTCAGAAATGGGAGAGATTGAGAGTTAGAGAAGCATTCATCATCAGGATAATTTGTTTTAAAAGCATCCAGGCTCCCATATAGCCACTAGATAAATTACCCACTATTCAAGGAAGGAAAGCACAATTAGTTTCACATTATAGTAAACGAATCAGCTCCTTAAATGACTGTCATTCTTGAGAAAAAAGGCAACAAGAATGTCATAGTTGTCCCCTTTCTCCCGTGCCTTTAGAAGCAAAAGCAATCCTTTTCTAGGACTAGAAGATCTATGGAAAGCATAGTGAATATATTTTGCCATTGTTTTTAGATAAGGAGAATTATATTCATTACTTGTATCCATACGGTTAATAACACCTACTTCACAATGCAAAGTTAATGAAGCTTTTGTTTAGTACTAGGGACAGGCAAATGCTTTGAAGCTTTATGGTAAGGAAGTAAGACTTCAATAAATTATTTTCAAACCTCCTTTTCTTCTTCCCAGGATAATTATTTTTATGTAATCATTTACAATCAAGGAGCAAAGGGAGGGGTAAAGAAAAATCATACCAGGGATAATGGAATATGCACAAAAAATCTGCAGGCCATTTTTTTCTTCTTAAAATGGATAGTTGCTAAACAACCATTCATTACCGCTTTTGAGGCAAGCAGGATGGTGTAAGAATATACTAAATTAATGTCATCCTCCACAACTTAACCTGAAGAAACACAATAATTAGTAAACTGTATGTACACAGCTGCTGCAGCAGTTTAAGCATGTTCCATCTGCAATAAGAGCGATCAATGAAGGCCTTGCAGGAAAGAGGGCGACTGCAATCATATAAAGAAAAAGCTTTAGTTCCTCCCTGCACACAAGTGTTATCAATCCAAACCCAAACTCACTATATCTTATGTTCACATGTCTGCATCCTTCTACAAGTACAATTTAATTGTATTTACTAAGGTTTTCATTTTCACGTTGGTAATGGATCATTTTGGGTACGTGCATACAGGGAATGTATAAAATTTCCTTTATACTACACAACCCTGGGCATGCCTGCTTTGTACCGTAAGTTCAAAACTCTGTGCTTCGAAGATTAATTGACTCTATGTACATGAACACTTCTTGAAACTGCATGAAGAACACATTTGAATGACATTTTCATTTTTAGAAATACAGGTATGTGTGACCTGTAAGCAGTGGCTTAACCAACTGAGCCACCCAGGTGCCTCACATCTAGCTTTCTTTTTTATAACCAAGGATACATAACTCAGATCAGAGATCCGTACTGCTTTTTCTCCTATCCCAGGTGCATTAGGCTTAGGACCGCACCGTTCAAAGCCTCTTACCGGGGAAAAGTATCCCATGGTCACTTTCCTGAGGAGCCACAAAAATTCAAAAGAAACCCAAATCTCTTTCCCTAGCCTAGAGCTTCAAGTGTTTCCCCTCTGACTTGGTCAAGAGATCTTGGTCAAGATAATTGCTGATCTCAGGCAATAAATGTACTGAATTTTTTTAAATTACAGCATATTATAAGTGTAAATAATTTTAGCATTGTCTACAACAAAGGATCTAAGACAAAGGATCTAAAGGATTTTTCTTAAGGATCTAAAAGGATCTCAAAAGTTCTCAAAAGGATTTTTCTTAAAGATTTAGTTCTTTTTTAATCATCTCCTGATTCAGCCTGAATTCTAACTTAAATCCAACTTACATAAATGCATGTTATCAACAATGAAACCTAAATCTCAATATTTTAAAATACTTTTTTTTCTTTTCTCAGTTTCTACAGATAAAGTGATCTGAAGTAATGAATGATGCCACAAAAGCAGAAAAGAGAAACTGTGACAACCCCCAGAAATGTGAAAGGAGGTTTCTTACTGGATAGCAGCATCTTTGGTTCAATTTATTAAAAAAAAAATACCCAAATAAATGAAATGGACAGTATTGTTCAATTTTAGAAATTCCATTTCTTCTATGTTTTAAGCTATATAATAGTCAAGTTTTTATGGTTTAGATTGTAAATGTGTTTTCCCCTTTGCTAATTATGTTGTGTTTTTTTAAGTATTAAAAGTCTTAAAATGTGAAAGGACATTTATGAATGGTAAGGGAGACACTGTATACAAATGTATATTTGTAAAAGCTATTTTTATGATTAGCATGTTTTACTGTTGATCATATATAAAGTCAGGTGATATTGCAATTCTATGTTTAAAGCTTATCTCCAACAATGTTATGTAAGAAAAGATACATCATAAGCTAGTTTTCATAATTTATTTTTAATTTATAGTTTAAAGTACTTCAGATCATAATGATAAAATACTTGAAAATGTTATATTTCTGCCCCCCATAAGCACCATTTTTATTAATAAAGAATGCAGATATTTCAGTTGTGATTCCATAGCTAAAGGACTCTGTTGCTTTGACCTGTGATTAAATTGAGCATTCTCTACTCAACTGAAATGATCCAGTCCTTACCCAATCCTTCAGTCTGGGTAGGAGATCCCATGGACAGGTTTTAGTGCCAATACAGCTGAAAACTATATTGGCAAGGAAAAGATTGTCTTGTCTTTGGTTCTGAAAGTTTAAATAGTGCGTATATCACTTCATTTCATCTCCTATTACTAGGAACGCTCCATTCCCAAGCATTGCAAGTATTTTCCAGATGCTCTTTGCCGTTGTCATGTGCTGTGGAAATGGAAGAAACCATCTTCACAGACTGTAGGAGAACTCAGCATATAATTTCTTAATAAATACCGTTTGTTTTAAAACAAAGTTGGTGTGTCTCTTTCCTTTGGGGGTGCATTTAGTTTTAATTTTCAGTTTGACTCTCTATGTCCCTGTAATGCCATATAATTAGTGCGATAATGAAAGTAGCATAACTTTACTAAAATGTGTATTCTATGTTTTATATGCCCACACTTTGCATGGAGTGACATATATTCTGGACCACATCAATTTGCTCTATAACACAAAGCAAGATGGCCCTCAATTCTTGACAGAAGTCACATTTTGGTTTATACTTCTAAAAGGCACATTTTTTTTTCATTCAAACGTAGAACTTTTAGAAAATATTTCAGGACAGGAAGCAAAACTACCTCGACAGAGGCATTTATGCTGTCAGACAAGTCTGCCGCTAAGGGCTCTATCTCCTCATGAAGAGCAGAGAGACAACATGTAATGTCACCAAGAGCATTTAGTGGAATTAAGTCCTCCTTTTTCCAAAGAAACTAAAGAGAATCTAAAATCACCTTTGTATGTTTTCTTATTTTTCTATTTTATTTATGGTAATTCATTCTTTTTCTTTATGTGTTTCCAGTAAAAGCTAATGAAAAATTATACAATTCCACCCAGCAGAGGTTACTTAAAACTAAAATTGTGAAAGCAAAAAATTAAAAATTTGCACATGAGGACCTAGGAACTGGATCAGGAATGTACTTGCCTTTCGAAGCATTGTGAAAATCACAATGTGGTATACTATTTTCCATGGCCATGATGAGTATTTGAGAATTTGTGACTGCTGTCATTGAACTGTGAAGCTGAAAAGAACCTGTATACAGCTCTACAAGGGAATAAAATCAGCAGAGTGATTTCTTGGTTTGCTGCCAAATAAATACATTCATCTAGGATAGTCTGATGCTGCAGAAGGGAAATGTTGCAGGTACGGTGTATTAGGAAAATGCACATGTGGATATTTTCCCAACCTTCCATTTATCTGTCCTTAGTATTCAATAAAGAGTGTAGCATTTATAGCAGACATTACCATAAATTAAGAGTATTGTACTTTCCCAGATGTTCATTAACTATTCTCAAAGTAAAATGAATAATTAAAATATATAATTCTTTGTTATTGGGCCTAATTTTCTTCACAAAGGCCTGGCAGTATGAAATCGTGCATTTTTCCCTTAACTCATTACCCATTCCTGGCTTCAGAATTCCTTTTGATGACAAAGATGGAATAAAATATATACCAGATTAACAAAGTACAGATTATATGGGATTATAAAGCATGAGGATTTAGTGTAATAATTTGAAAGGGAAATTTCAAGAGATGACAAAGGGAGTGTAGACTCTAACTCCAAATGACAACAGTTCCATTAAAAAAGAAATGCTAAGGGAAAGAGTTATTACTCACTGCATTCAACTCAAAAAAAAAGGAGGGGGGAAACAGGCCCACGACTTGTGAAGTTAGGTCAACTAGTCACTGGTGACAATGTGAAAGGGAAAGTACACATTTTGTTTCCATCTTTTAAACAAAAATTCAAAGCAGAAACACACAACAAGATAAATTGACATAGAAATGAAGCAGAAGATAAATAAGAAGGAAACTATTTTGAATGGGTTAAAGTGCAGAGAAGAGAAATTACAAATGCAAATATCTACAGAGCCCTGATAAATATAAATGAAAGAAATAGGCATGAAGACCCTTAGTAGACATTAAATACAACTATGCTGATGAGGACAGGCCACCTCCCAGTTCCAGCTGGCTGCCTGATCCAGAAACATGGCCAATCCAAAAGACTGGCCAGGTGTCCTGATTTTTCAAGAACAGGTAGACATCGAGAATTTTAAATGAAATAGAATTTTAAATAGAATTTTAATTCTAATTTTGTTTTGTTTTGTTTTAATATGAATCTGATTGTTAAGGAAACCATATCTATGATCTATATCCAGGATTTAGTAGTTGTAAAAGTTAAAAAAATAAAGTTGCAATAATGAAAAACAACAAATTCAGGATTATCTATGGTGAGAAAAAGAAGGGAGAATAGAATGGGGGTATTGAATAACATCTGTGATATTTAATCTACTAGGAAACATTTTTTAATCAAAACAGCTATCAAATGTTAAAGTTAGATAAAAGTCAGTTCTAAATTATACTGGTGGGCTCATTATATTTTTTCTATGTTGTTTTTGTGGACTTCTAATGTTTCATAATAAAAGTATTTATATCTCAGTGTGTGTACATAGGTAGATATAGATGTACACATATACTGATTGTATAGCGATGTGAGGGATGTAAGTACCATATAGAGAGACAGAGATTTGGACCTTTGGATCATCAGAAGTCTGCAAGTTCATGATCTACGCGTTCTAGAGATGTGCAGATTCCTAGAAAAGAATATGATTTAGAGAAAGAAATATGCATTACTCTAATGTTTAAAAGTATTTTTGCAGAGGAGAAATTTAGAAGTGAATATCCTATTTGTTATTGAAAAGGCTTCCTTTCAGCCCTTGAGATATTTAGAGTCACTCTAGGAATCTAATTTTGATTCCTGAAAGAATTTGGAGTACTGAGCGTGCAAAATAGTCCCCATATCTATCTGGTTGCATCTGTAAGGATAAAGACAGTACCTTCTCTACTTTTACATCCTGCACATCTGTTACCTTATACATAACAGGTTATTTCTCCATAAATGTTTGGAAAGCAGGGTGTGTTCTAGGTTTATACCTTACTTTAAAAAGTTTAATAATTTCCTAAGCAACTACTATGTGCCAAGCTAACAGCTTTCTATGCATTATCACTGATGCACACAGGAAAACTGCAGGGTAGATACTGTTAGCTCCAGTTTCCAAGGAAAGAGAGCAGATAATTTATTCATTTCCATCATTTTTTATTAAGCACCAACTCTGTGCCAAGCATTGTTACTGGCAATATGCAGTCCAGCTATAAATAATAAAGGCTAAAATTCCTGTCATTGAAAAGCTAATATTCTTCTGGGGGATGACACAGAATAAGACAATTAACAACAAATGTAAAGTACTGCAAATGGTAATGATGATGAACACAGAGGAAAAAGCAAAGCAGGGAAGGAAAAAGGGCAGGGAGGTTTTACATGGGTGTTTGTATAGGCTGATCAGGGAAGACTCCTTGGTAATATGGCATTCAGGCAAAGATGTGGAGGAGGTAAGAGGGTGAGCCATGTGTCCTGAGCAGGGTGGGGACAGCAAGTATATCCCCTGAGGTGGGAATGTACTTGGTGTGTTCAGAAACAACCAAGGAGGGCCTGATAGATGGACTGGAATAGACGAGGAAAAGAAAAATAAATGAGGCCACAGAAAAGCCAAGATTTCAGATTACGGAGCCTTAGAGGTGATTCAGAGTTCACTGGTTTTACGCTGCCTTAGATGGGAAAACAGCAGAAGCTTGTGAGCACAGGAATGATAGGATCTAACTCAAAGATTAAAAGAATTTTTAAAAACTAAAAGAATTAAAAGATTAAAAGATAAAAGAATTAAAAGAATTAATTAAAAAGCTGTTAAGTCCTGAATAGACTATAAAGGAAGAAGAAAATAAAAAAAAAAATCCCTGCACACTCTTTTCCAAAGTGGATGCACCAACTTGCATTCCCACCAACAGTGTAAGAATGTTCCCCTTTCTCCACATCCTCTCCGACACACGTTGTTTCCTGTCTTGCTAATTTTGGCCATTCTAACTGGTGGAAGGTGGTTTCTCAATGAGGATTTGATTTGAATCTCCCTGACGGCTGGTGATGATGAACACTTTTTCATGTGTCTGTTAGCCATTTGTATGTCTTCTTTGGAGAAGTGTCTGTTCATGTCTTCTGCCCATGTTTTGACATGATTATCCGTTTTGTTTGTGTTGAGTTTGAGGAGTTCTTTCTAGATCTTGGATATCAGCCCTTTCTCTGTTTGGAAGAGAGTGTGGAGATTCCTTAGGAAATTAAAACTAGAGATTCCCCATGATCCTGAAGTTACACTACTGGGTATTTACCCCAAAGATACAGAGGTAGTGAAAAAAAGGGCCTCCTGTACTCCAATGCTCATAGCAGCAATGGCCATGGTCACCAAACTATGGAAAGAACCAAGATGCCCTTCAGTGGATGAATGGATAAAGAAGATGTGGTCCATATATACTATGAAGTATTATGCCTCCATCAGAAAAGATGAATATCCAACTTTTGCATCAACATGGACGGGATTGGAGGAGATTATGCTGAGTGAAATAAGTCAAGCAGAGAGAGGAAATTATCATATGGTTTCACTTACTTGTGGAATATATGGAATAAGACGGAGGACATGGGAGATGGAGAGGAGAAGGGAGTTGGGGGAAATTGGAGGGGGAGAGGAACCATGAGAGACTGCGGACTCTGAGAAACAATCTGAGGGTTTTGGAGGGGAGAAGGTTTGGAGGTTGGGTGAGCCTGGTGGTGGGTATTGTGGAGGGCATGTATTGCATGGAGTGCTGGGTGTGGTGCATAAGCAATGAATTCTGGAACACTGAAAAGAAATTTTAAAAAAAATTAAATAAAAATTTTAAAATTTTAACCTAAAAAAAAAAGAAAGAAAAGAAAACTAATGATGTGCTGGATCTTGACTGAAAAATATAACAATAAAAAATAAAAAGTAAGTGCATGGCCCTCAAAAAAAAAAAAAAAAATCCCTGCAGGCTGAGAAACAACTATGTGTGTTTGGTCTGAGACCAGACTGAGAGAAACCTGCTCATTCACTCATCAAATATTTGTTGAGCCCTTATAATGTTCTATATGTGTTCTTGACAGTAGGTATGTAGTGGTGAACATAGACACATTTTCTTTTC